CCGACCAGACGTTCTCGATGGGGTTGCAGTCAGGCGAGCGAGCTGGCCAAGCCATGGTGTTGAGTTACATCTCCTGCAAGAATTGCTTCGTTTCATGCGAGGCATGAATCGAAGCATTGTCTTGCTGAAATACAAAGTCAACACCATAGTTAGCGTGAGCAAAAGGGAGTAGATATTCAGATAACGTGTAAATATAGTCACCTGAATTCTGACGTCCACGCAAGATGGCCAGCTCACTCTTACCTGCTGCACTAAAAGCGCCCCACACCATGACGCTCCCTCCTCCATTTTGGCGACGCAGATAAGACTGTGCAGGCTGGCGCATGTCCCGCCAGTAATACTTGAATCCATCAGGACCATCTAGATTAAACTTCCTTTCATCTGAAAAAATAGTGTAAATCCAAGTATCTAAAAAAATAAATATTGTTATAATACAAAATTGCAGCAAAACTTTAATATGAGAGGCTTACCTGGCTTCAGTATGTAATCTTCCGCCCATTGCATGCGGGCAGCCTTGTGCGCTGCCGTGAGGGGAAGCGTGCGGTCCATCTTGGTGTAAATCAGATGGTCCACACGCTGCAGAACCCGCTGGATCGTCCTCACGGACGCCTTGATGCCGAACTTCGTCTTGAGCTCCGCAGCAAAGAACTCACCTGTCGCCGCGGCACGCACAAGCTGCCGCAGCTCTCGTTCCGTCAGTGCCGGTTGCCGCCCAGCCCTTCGCTCTCCACCCCTGTCTTCCTTCCGTCCCCGCTCCGCCTTGACTGCGTTCCGGACGGACGTACGGGACCGACCTGTCTTCCTAGCGATCTCGTGCAGAGAGACGCCTCCGTCGTGGAGACCGACGATAAACCAGTACTCTTGTTGGGAGAGGGTCTTGCCGTGGCCCATTAGAAAATGAAAGGCTCACAGCCTCCGTAGCGTCTAGCTACCCGCTCATTTCCGCCAACCATCTACTTATTTTGACCATCACTCTTTTAATATAGAAATTTGTAAGGTCTGTTCATAAAAGTGTTTTTTCGTCATAAAAAGGATGTGGTCTTAATAATTTGACGCTGATGTCCAAACCTTGAATTTGTATACCAGCCCTGTCAGATACATAGAAATCTAAGTTGTTAACACAAGTGGCACCTCTGTAAGAGAACATATCAAAGTAGCAGCTCTCAACTCAGGCTAGAAGCCGAAATATTGTCAGAATTGTCCCGCCAAATCGGGGGGCTTAATGATTTGGCGGGCACTGTAATTGAGATACTTAGCAAAGATTTTCGAGGCGAGCAAAATACAGTACTGCACCCCGTTTTCGCGCCCTTGGACCTTTGATAAACTTCCGGATGTGATGAAACTAAATCCAAATGAACTGAAGCTTGTATGCTAAAATATGGTTTACTACGTAGTACTTGCAAATCCTATATGGTCCACCCCCGCGAAAACGGGGTGCAGTACTGTACTAGTTGCGCCAACCTCATGCGCCGTTCTTCTGTCAAAAGAAAGGGCTTCTTCTTATTGCGAGGGTGATGTGCTTGCATAAGCGAAAAATTCGAGTCGTTGGAGCTCTGTCACTGACAGTGTCAGAGATCCTGCTGGAACTTTTGGTAGTGTGATACTGTGGGACAGATTTGCGGAGATCATGGGAAACCCGCATTTCACAAATAACGCCCACGCAAGCGCTGATACAGATAAAGCGCGGAAGGTGAGACCGTTGTCAGACGTTTTACAGCAATGCTTCAAGGCAGGCTTTAGTCTACTTGGGGTTATTGCTTTCGACGAAGCAATGATCACTTCTCGACGACAAGCCTCAGATGCGGAAGGGGGGGGGGTCGTGTCGTGCTGTTCAAAGTCTGCACACTGTTTCCGGTACGCAATGTGTCGTGTATGCTGGCACCTGTTACCGTATGCGAGATCTTCTACTTTAGTCATCAAATTGTTGATGGTGTTGTGCTGTGTGGCCTGTTCCTGAATTATATGCTGGACACTAAAACGTTATCTTGTTTTTGTATTGACCATGTTTGTTTAAAACACTCTAGAACTTTTTCTACAGTGTGAATTGGGAATCTCTCTGGAGTAGGAAATCGCGTATACGGTTTTATGCCCACGAGACTTGGAGTAGATTCGCGTTCATTTCGGCTTTTTGGCTAAGTCAAACATTCTGTATATGTTGTTTGGTATGCTGTACGTTTGACATCTCATTACAACATGTCTTGCTAATGCTCATGCTGTTTCGTGTACTGTTTATATCTACGGAAACTAATGGTTTCAAATATAACGAAGGGGTACACGAGGCGCACAAAGGATTAGTCCTGGAGCTCTGAGTATGTATTTCGCACCCAGCTCTTATCATATTCTAAAAAGAGTGATGAATAGAAATCCTGTCATTACAGTACACCCATTACCAAATCTTCCCGAGCCGACATCCGTTTCAATTCCGATCTTTATAATGCGAGTACACCTGAATCTTTGCAGCTACAAACGACCCTGATTTTAGTACGGTCATACACCAGAAAGCGCGCTACTATGTCTGCTTCGGATCGTCTCTACCGGTTCACTGTTTATCTTGGTGGGCGAGGGGAATGTGATTAATTCTAGACCGCAATAAAGATGCTTGATTGCGGATGTTTGTCCGAAACACCCGATGGTGATTTTTTTTCTGCGGTACTGACGGGCACCACGGTTATGAAAAGCGAAAGATCGGTGAAAGGGTAGGTGAACTGAGCTACGCGACTCTCGTCACCTAGTGAAACCTCAGCTTTTGAAGGGGCAAGGTCATCATGAGAGATGGTTGGAGAAGCATGTGAAGGATGAAGTTGGAGATCCTGTCTGGGTGCACCAAATTTTCAGAACTTGGAGGGGTATAACGCGAGCCAAGAAGCTTGCTTTCCCAGGCATGCTCCTATCATCGTCATCAGCAAAGGCAGGCAGAACGCGTACACAGCAGCCGACGACTCTGACACTGGCGCAGCTACCACTGTCTCCACCACCGAGTCTACAGCCCATAATAATGTTGCAGCTGGCGCTGAAACCGGCACCAACACAGATGTAGGATATCGGTCGTTCTTTCGCCTTTATCGCCATGGTCAGTGTTGTGTGTCTCTGGCCGCGTAGATTGGGAAGTGATATTAGAGATCTTCATCTAGCTACTGGTGATTTTCTAGGCTAGCTTACCCTGGACCCGCTCTGCCACAGCTGATGCTGACCTAGGATACGTGGTGGGAGGCGCAGGACACGTGTACCGCAGGGGCCCCGAACGTCTCGCAAACATCGCCAATTCGCTCACGTCAATGCCTCATGCATATAAGGTCATTTTATAATCCAAAAATCATTCTGAAAGAATACATGAACCAACGCCACATTCTCACTGCTTACCGATACCTGTTCAAGTCACTAATCTTTGACAGACACATCGAACATTACAGCTCCCATCTACTATCGTTACTTCTGCATTTCGCTCCGAAGTTTAGGAATGCCACCGCTAGAGGAAACACAGCGCTCATCCGTACAACAAGAAGAACGGCGAATCACCTAGCGCTTCATAGTAGGCTCTCTGCTAAGCAGAAACACTCGCGATAAGTATATGTCCAAAATGCTCTGTGTCTCGCTCACATGCATCCTTAGCATCCCTATAAGCGGGGTCAGACTTCTGCGGGTTCAACAGGTCAGCCATTCGCTGCGCTTTTACTTCGCCAGCCTCCAAGCGGGACAGACCCTTTACATGACCCATAGTTGTACCCGGCTTGTGATGCATCTTGTACAGTAAGTTAGATAAATCGATAGCCACCGATGCCGCTTCGCGTTTGCCGCACGGTTGCCAGGACTGACGATCCAGGTGAGAGCCAAATAATTCGTGTACACGTCGAGCGCCCTTTCATTTTAGAAAAAAAGTTCATGTCGACCATACGACGTCCAACACTCAATCCCAGAGATCCCATCATGGTTGCTGATCCCGTACTTCCGAGAGCCGGTCAGCGATTTACTTGCGTAAATCACTTCTCGGTCCGAATCATTGACGTGCTGCATTAGCCACGCTCCAGCTGCATTTTGTGACGAGCCCACGTGAAGCTTGAACCGTCTCGTGATGTCAGGGTAATCTAGAATAGGAGCTTCATCCAAACGCATTTTTGTTGGCGAAAAGCCGCCTCGAGGTCGTCCTTCACGCAAAGGGAGCAACCTTCACCTTCAACCGTTTTAAGGGCGCCGAAATCGAGGCGTACTTCGGGATGTAGCGACGGAAAGAGCTTGTTAGTTTCAGAAAAACGGATGCCATGCGTTTTGGGAAAACGTCAGAACGTGTATCATCCTGAAACGTTTTGTCAGTATGTGTGAAACGTGTGTCAATAGGTGTATGGGCTGCCATCGGTATTGACAGTATGTGACAGTCTCAAAACAAACGCCAACAGGTGTATGAAAGTGAGGTTTGTGTGTCAAAGTGTGTAGTTCGCAACCGTTGCACACACTTTCAATAAAGTGTCGGTGTATGCCAATGCATTTCACGCTAAAGCTGTCTTTATACCGACAGAATCAGACATCACTCAGAGTTCCGAATGGCTACCTGCAGTTTTCACAAAGAAACCGGGACGCCCCAAGACGAAGCGCATAAGAAGTGTTGGAGAGGACGGGAATAGATCCTCACAGAGTTGCTCAAGTTGCCATCGGAAAGGCCACAACAAGCGTTCATGCACGCAATCGGATGGCACATAACACATTCAAAAAGAGTGTCCCTCAGTCGCTATAGAGCAACAAAGAAGTCAATTTCGTGTTTTTTTGTTTTGTTTGAACATTTAGAAGGTCACTCAACTCCGGGTTTTTTAATAGTGCCCCTCATTCGCGATCAAGCAATAATGAAGTCACTTTCATGTTTTTTTGTTTTTTTTGTGCATTTAGAAAGTTACTCAACTCCGGGTTTTTGCGTTATAGTTCCCTTAAGAAGAATCGTCACTGCTAACGATAGAGTCACCACAGCATCCATCCGCACCACATGGCATTTAAACCATAATTCATCGCCATAATCAACAGTGACCTCGCTTCCAGCTCGAATATCCTCCATCGTTACTACAACCACCGTGACGAAGCGGCGGTTTTTAACCTCGTAAAAACGGCAATTTGCCGCGCAGGAATGATTCATGAACCGCGTAATGTTTCCCTTGAATTTTGCCTCGATCCACAAGTTCTCCTTGCGCGACGACCGCGCGGCCAAACCGATGGTGTAGTTGCTGGTTCTTTTCCTGTCCTTACGGTAGTCGTGTGTTGTCAACACACCAGCGTACTCAGCAACAATACTTCCACTTTCAATATCCTCAGACGTGAAAACAGAGTATCCAATATTTCCACGCGCTAGGTGCAGGCCACTCACAGTTCTCAGTCGATTGCCACGGTCAGATCCGTTGAGGCAGTTATTCCGAGCACAAAATATGCTACCCAATGCATTTGGGCAACCATCCGGTCGGCAAATTGTGTCGCAGCCACACCAATCCATCGGCCCTAAATCGGGTACCAAAATGTTGTTTGGGTTCTCGGTATTGGCTATCTCCATTACATCAGAAGGCCATGAAACTACGTCATTATCTTTCTGTAGGAGCAAAATGTTCGCTTTCTCATTTTCGCCCGTCTCAGAAGCTTCGTGAGAACGTTTGCTAGACCTGCTGTTGTTTTCGTCGCTGGACTCGTCCAAATAAATTATATCTGGTGTGACAGTCCAGTACACATTGTCGATTTCATCGTGGCATCCGGTGTCAACGTCGTTGCATTCAGTCTTGTCATGGCTGCTTTCGTCACCACTCTCCATTAAACTGATAATCTCACGAGGCGAAATAGGCGGAGCGCAATACTCTTCGCGATATTCATTTGGCTGATGTGCTGTATTAGAGCCGCAATCACTAGCTTCATCACTCACTCTCTCTGTATCTTCATTGTCGCTAGTATCATACAAAACAATCACTTTCGGAAGGTTAGCAATATCTTTGCCAACAGAGCCTACTTCACCATGCTCTGGGGGTAAAATACCCTCTCCTGCCTCCTTGGTTAAATCGACCAGGTCCGTAATGAAAGAAAGTGCTTCGACTTCACGTCGGCTCTCCACCCCAGTCTTCCCTACACGCGAAATACACGGGCCTCTGTAGCATGGCCCCCTCCAGAAGGAGGGAAACTCGCCTAGCGGCGCCGTTTTCATCACTCCACAGCGGTAAGCCCGCTTAGAATCTCGGCCTGGGGCCCGTCTCTTCATGTACCGCTGTTTCCTGCTCTTCGCCTTGAAATTTTCGACTTTAGATGAATGCGCAACGCGTGAGATGCGCTCTTGCTCTGCGTACAACGGCGCAGTTCTCTTCGACAGCGCCGCAGCTCGCTCCATCTCTGCGTCCCTCACTTGCTGGAATGTGATTGTCTCGTAAATGGGCCGAGTCATCTGTGCTGAACAATGGGTTTCGCCCTATTTATCCCCAAAACTTGTGACAGTACGTGTGCTCGGTTCAAACCTGCCGGTCACCATCACTCTGACTGGTTCTGTAACCGCTTTTGACAAACGTTTGCCCAATTGATACACGTTCTGACGTTTTCCCATGCGTTTTTGAGGTCGCATCACACCCCTTACTTTCTCAGGATTAGTTGAGATTCCAAAAAAAAGTCGCGATATGTTCTAAGAAAGCACCTTGGCTTTGGACTTAGTGACACATTTTCGTCCTCAACTTGAAACCTGCTTGACGGAACCTTGTGGTCACTTGCCGCACACGTACTAAACGTTTTGGAAAAACTTTGCTGTCGAGGTCGACTAAGCAAATGCGCCACTAAGACCGTCTCCATCAACCGTTTAAACGTCGGCACAGCGTTGCACGAAACATAACGCATCGCTAACCACTCGTAAATGCCGTGTTTGCACGCGAAGGCAGTCTTCAGAATGCTGCACTCGTTCATGGGAGCTTTCCAGTAGCCAGACTCAAAGCCCATAGTTGAGCACAATTAAGCGTCACCAAGCACGTCGAGAAAATCATCAATTAAATGCCCGAGGTAGCCGTCTTTCCCGGTCACCACGTTCAGTCTTCGATAGCCCATACATAACCTTTTATCTTCGCCTTGTTTGCTAATCATCGGTACTGGCTTGGCCCACGGGCTGTTCGAAGGACGTATATTCTCCAAGTACTGCCTCCTTTACGTCTCCTTCAGTAAGCAACACTTGGTACGGCGACTGCTTGATGGGAGGGCTTTCACCCGTATCGATCATAAAGTTCAAAATCTCCGTCGACTCAGACTTCATGAACGGTTCCAAAAACATGTCGTAGAAGTCGTTCATCGGACCGGAACAGTGTATTTTGTTCTCCAGATAGGTTTGACTCAGGGACGTCGGCCATAGCACCGACATCCTTGCCCGGGGGGCGTCAGGTTTCGACGGTTTCATCTTGTCACCGTCACTCTCCTCACATACTTCTCTGACTGACATAGTTACGGTGCTCCCAACACCTTCCGTTGGTACGCTTGCACCATGAGACTTTCCTTCTGCGGACGGGTTACGTACCCGAAATCCGACTTCGGCACGACCGAAGCTAGAGCCATAACTGTACGTTTGCGAGCCCAACACTCGTCGGTCGACGCATTGCAAATTTCGATAACCACTTTGTCTTCTCCAATGGTACACATTGTCACACAGAGACAGGAGGTAATCCACTACCTGCACGAATTCATTGCCCTCCGTATATCGTATGAAGTTTTCGACCCGTAAGGTCTGTCCCCGAGGTGGCAATCGTACCGAAGAGGCCATCGTAGACATATAAGCGTCGTGCACGACGGTAATTTCCAATACAATTCTTAGCCCCTGGCCTTAAGCGTCAGGATCCGCTGAGCCACTTCGATCTCGGTGCCGAGCGCTCCCAAAATGGCGGCTCCTAGGATAGCGCCCTTACGCAGCTTCTTGATCACCAGTATCTTCACAGGGACATTTTTCGACACAAGGTGTACCGGCAGCTTGATTCAGCCGGGGACGGGTAGCCGATGCCCCGACGAGCTCCTATCCCGACTGTCGTAAGGCTGTCGTGGCTCCGAAAACCGCCCTAAGCGCTTAGGCTGAGCCTCAGTGTTGCTTCGGTGGGAGCGAGCATATGTAACAGTAAGCAACGGATACATCCCCAAAGAGAGATCCTCAAACCTGCTGATGGCACAAACCACACGTCGCCCCCCTCCCTTGATCCACCGTCTCGAAAGGAAGAGCAATGTATTTGCATACCAAGCTTTCCGAAATCGAATCCTCCCGAGTACAATCCTCTTCGAGACTATCAGCTGCTTCAGCAGCTCCAGACGTAGGACTATCATGTATGGCCACTTTTCCTGAAGTGTTACCCGACGAACGGAAGTCACGGTTAGCTCTCTTGGTCTCAGCCAAATTCTCAAGCGTCTCATGGCACCGTTCTTAACAATACTCAGGGCTTGTCAGCTTACTCTCAACGGGCTTGCTCACACGTACCTTCACATCTACCGGAATCCCCAAGTAGCGAACCATGTCCTCCAAGTAAGGACTATTACAGCGTCAGCGTTCACCTTCATTGACACCTGAGCTCAAACTCGTCAAGAGGGACAACTGTTCTCCTAATTCCTTGTCGTACACTACCGTCTTGACGGCTTCTTTCACGCCCGCAAGAACCGTCTCATCATCGCCAGAATCACACACCTCAATGGCATAAAGCTCCACGTCTGTGCAAAACCGCGAATACGTAGATCCCCGAGCTCTGCCAACCGTACTCCGGTCCCAAACAACCTTCTCCGTCGGGGGGGGGGGGGCTATTTCCGGTATTTCTACCGCAGCGCATTCGATGGCTTCAAGCGTCAACACTTCGGCAGCCGTCCCCTCTGGACCGTTCTCCAGCGCCCAGCAAGAAACTACAGTAGCATTTTGCTACGAGTCCACGTAAATCTTGAACCGACTCGTGATGTCAGGGTAATCTAGAATAGGAGCTTCATCCAAACGCATTTTTGTTGGCGAAAAGCCGCCTCAAAGTCGTCACTTCACGCAAAGGGAGCAACCTTTACCTTCAACCGTTTTAAGGGCGCCGAAATCGAGGCGTACTCCGGGATGTAGCGACGGAAAGAGCTTGTTAGTTTCAGAAAAACGGATGCCATGCGTTTTTGAGGTCGCATCACACCCCTTACTTTCTCAGGATTAGTTGAGATTCCAAAAAAAAGTCGCGATATGTTCTAAGGAAGCACCTTGGGCTTGGACTTAGTGACACATTTTCGTCCTCAACTTGAAACCTGCTTGACGGAACCTTGTGGTCACTTGCCGCACACGTACTAAACGTTTTGGAAAAACTTTGCTGTCGAGGTCGACTAAGCAAATGCGCCACTAAGACCGTCTCCATCAACCGTTTAAACGTCGGCACAGCGCTGCACGAAACATAACGCATCGCTAACCACTCGTAAATGCCGTGTTTGCACGCGAAGGCAGTCTTCAGAATGCTGCACTCGTTCATGGGAGCTTTCCAGTAGCCAGACTCAAAGCCCATAGTTGAGCACAATTAAGCGTCACCAAGCACGTCGAGAAAATCATCAATTAAATGCCCGAGGTAGCCGTCTTTCCCGGTCACCACGTTCAGTCTTCGATAGCCCATACATAACCTTTTATCTTCGCCTTGTTTGCTAATCATCGGTACTGGCTTGGCCCACGGGCTGTTCGAAGGACGTATATTCTCCAAGTACTGCCTCCTTTACGTCTCCTTCAGTAAGCAACACTTGGTACGGCGACTGCTTGATGGGAGGGCTTTCACCCGTATCGATCATAAAGTTCAAAATCTCCGTCGACTCAGACTTCATGAACGGTTCCAAAAACATGTCGTAGAAGTCGTTCATCGGACCGGAACAGTGTATTTTGTTCTCCAGATAGGTTTGACTCAGGGACGTCGGCCATAGCACCGACATCCTTGCCCGGGGGGCGTCAGGTTTCGACGGTTTCATCTTGTCACCGTCACTCTCCTCACATACTTCTCTGACTGACATAGTTACGGTGCTCCCAACACCTTCCGTTGGTACGCTTGCACCATGAGACTTTCCTTCTGCGGACGGGTTACGTACCCGAAATCCGACTTCGGCACGACCGAAGCTAGAGCCATAACTGTACGTTTGCGAGCCCAACACTCGTCGGTCGACGCATTGCAAATTTCGATAACCACTTTGTCTTCTCCAATGGTACACATTGTCACACAGAGACAGGAGGTAATCCACTACCTGCACGAATTCATTGCCCTCCGTATATCGTATGAAGTTTTCGACCCGTAAGGTCTGTCCCCGAGGTGGCAATCGTACCGAAGAGGCCATCGTAGACATATAAGCGTCGTGCACGACGGTAATTTCCAATACAATTCTTAGCCCCTGGCCTTAAGCGTCAGGATCCGCTGAGCCACTTCGATCTCGGTGCCGAGCGCTCCCAAAATGGCGGCTCCTAGGATAGCGCCCTTACGCAGCTTCTTGATCACCAGTATCTTCACAGGGACATTTTTC